GGTTTGTAACCTGTCCTCCATTTGTTTATGAATTCCCTGAGTTCTTCAGCTGTAAAACAGAAAGTAGACAAATAGAAAGTAAACAAACAAACAGAAGGCATGGAGTCAGAGAGTAGAAAGTAAACAAACAGAAGGTATGGAGTCAGAGTAGAAAGTAAACAAACAGAAGGTATGGAGTCAGAGAGAAAGTAAACAAACAGAAGGTATGGAGTCAGAGAGTAGAAAGTAAACAAACAGAAGGTATGGAGTCAAGAGAGTAGAAAGTAAACAAACAGAAGGTATGGAGTCAGAGAGTAGAAGTAAACAAACAGAAGGTATGGAGTCAGAGAGTAGAAAGTAAACAAACAGAAGGTATGGAGTCAGAGAGTAGAAAGTAAACAAACAGAAGGTATGGAGTCAGAGAGTAGAAAGTAAACAAACAGAAGGTATGGAGTCAGAGACAGGGTCTGTGTGAGTCAGCTGTGAAACAGAAAAAAGACAGATAGTAAACAAACAGATTTCATCATTTTAGCTGACTGGAGAAGAGGTAGCGATTCCTCTGTAGCTCTACTGCTGAATCCTAGATATACTGAAAATATAAGAATGGTGAAAGAATAAAAAATACGTCAAATTATTTAAGTGCTTATATTATGAAATTTTCAAATAGTTGCATTTTTTAAAGTTTTTTTTTTAAATCTGTTAACATTCTGAAATTCAACAAAAAGTTTTACAGATTAGTACTTTTTTAATGGAGAGAGAATCAAAGTATTTAATCTCAAGCAAACACGCAGGGGATACACTTTAGTTGATACTACTCTCATCTCCAAAACTCACAATCAGCTAGTTCCAATGACTGCTCCCCAACACTCATACATTTGTCTAATGACTTCTCCCAGTTTACTTCCTGTGTCAGACATCTTTGTGATTTCTGAAGATACTGCAAAACCTACAAACATCGGATGAAATAGTTTCATCAATTTTTCTACATGTATTCTTCCAATCAATGGTTCTATAATTGTGTGTTTGCTTTTGAAAGTTTTTTTTTAATTTTATAGGAAGATGACATAAGTACTGTGGTAGAACCTTTTGTTGTGTTTCAGGAGTCTGGGTCTCCAAACTGTTTGTCAGCTCAGCATACAACCTCCATATCTCCCCATTACTTGGCACCTGTCCAAATTAATTCATGTAATGATTTTTAAACATTTTACCTGTTTATTCAGTTTTATCTAAAAGAAGATAAGGATTTCAGGATATTTCAATGGTCTTAAATCAGATTGCAATTTTCAAATATGTACATGTATAAAAATGATTTTGATGGCTAAATATATTTTGAGTTTGATGGTTACAAATGTCTTTATGTTGTAGATAAGTCCCTTTCCCTTACTTTGGCTGTAATTCTACCAAACAGTTCCAGTAGCCTGGTTTTATACTGACTGGTAGGATTCCCCTGAGGATCCCTGTATTCCCCTGTAACACCCTTCACTAGAACTGCCAGGACCTGTAATGCAGAAATAAAATTCAGATTCCTCTCAAAGTTACTGATAACATTAAGGTCTACAGAGCTTCTGACAAGAGAAATAACTGAGATTATTTTTTTCACTTTTAGAAAAATCCGTCAAATTTACGCCCCATAAGGTATGCCAATAAATATAAAATGGATTTCTTTTGAAAAGCATTAGAGCTTTCAAAGTTTTTATCAGACAGTAATGAAGTTTGCAAATCATCTAAACAAATTCTAGTGAAATATAATTACCCACCTCTACATCGGTCCATTTTTCTTTAAGATCTATCAGACGATGATACGCCCGAATGGCTTCATCAAACTCACCACAGTCTGTGGCTACCTTTAATAAAAAATTCATCTCATAATTCACAGAAAAGGCTTTTACATTTAAAAAATATCAACTTCAAAACTTATGAATACCCATTTGTAAAGTTACACAATTTTCATACAACTAAACACGTATCCATTAATTAATTTTGCCGTGTTTTATATATAAAGGTCAAGTGAACTACTGACCACAAGTAAGTTTTCCCACACTCTCCAGTTTTCATAGTTGCATTTTAGGGACTCTTTTAAGGTCAGTAGGGCTTTTTTCCTGGTAACAAAGCGTTATATAGAACAATTTTTAAAATTGTCAATTAGGATATGAAGTTACTTAATGCTTACTATAAAAGCAACAACTTATTTTATACTGATTTTTTTATTTGGTTTCTTACTTGTCTTTGAGTTGAACATAAGCTGAGGCCATATTATTCCAGGCTTCAAAATTCTGAAATTTATTACAGGTAAAAAATATGAAAAAATATTCTCTTCAACTCTGTGAATAAAAATTCACATGTAATAATCAACTAAACACACAGAAAGAAAACTCCAATAAATAACCTCAAACAAGAAGATCTCTACAATGAATTAATTTGCAAAATTGTTAAAACGTTTTGTATCCACACTTAAGGGTTTTATCTTTACAGTGATTTTAAATTTCTTTTTATTTGACAAACCTACATCAGTGTCAATGTTGACACATCGTTTGAAAGCTCTCACGGCTTCCTCAAACTTCTTGGCTGCCATACAGGCACAGCCGAGAGTGAACCACACGGGCACCTGTAAACAGGGAGTCAATTAAATAAGTAGATATATTACAAAGTATCTTTCTTAGAAATAATTTTAAAATTAATTATAGTAATCTCTTCAAAACACGAAGAAGATACTAAATTAATCATTTTTATCTGAATTATAATTAATCTTTTGTAAAATGACAAGGATTCATCACAGACCTGGAGTGAATTGATGCTTAGAGATTTCTGGAAACATTCAATACACTTCTCATACTGAAATAAAAATCATATGTCTATTTAATACAGTCTCATAAAAAGTAAGATAATTTCACTAATATATGAGTGATATAGTTATGTAAAGGATATAAAATATAATTCCATCATAGTATTTGTTAAGAATATATTTGCCACAATTCGAAAATTTTGTCTGTGCTTATAAATAGACTATCTCGCGAAAATAAGGTGTCGCGAAAATTTTGTGATCTACAGTAGTTATGCAAAGGATATAAAATACAATCCATCACTTATCTTCTGCTTCTTCATGTGCCATATAGATAAACCAATCAAAAAATCAATCAAATCCATTTTACCTCTTCCTGTGCCATATACAGGTATCCCATACACCTCTGTGACCGCGCGTGTTTGTGTCCAGACATTTCCCAGGCCTTGATGTAGTGATTGATGTCACGTGTCACATCACCAAGGAAACACCACAAGTTTGGAGTTTCCTGTATTGCCAGCTGATCACGAATTAAAGTCTCAGCCTGATAGAAAAAAAAACATTCATACTAGTATTAAAATCTTTTTTTTATGATCTTCAATTTATCTTTTCCTTTTTTCTCAAATTATTTTTTCTAAATTACCAGTAGGTTAATAATCAATCACCAACAAAAAAGATGTACCTGGTAACTATTTAAAATACACAAATTTCATTACAAATACATAAAAACATCTCACCTTTTCCATTTTGCCCAGCCTTTTGTAGCAGGTGATGACATCTTCCCATAACTGTAGTCTTTCAAATACCTCTAAAGCTCCACCAATAGACCCAATACTTATAAGAAGCTCTGCTAGCTGTCTCTGTTAATAAAGAAATAACTGTAGTCTCTAAACATAGGTAATCAGAGATTACAGAGCTCACCTCAACCAATGTTGTCTTTCAGTAAGGCAAAGTCACACAATTAACCAAACAAGAAGTGTACATTTCAAAAACGAATATATTTAAGCAATTTTAATCTGATACTTTGAAATAGACCTACATAAAAAATTTAAAGTAGTTCTTCTGCATGAAAATTTAATTAAAATTCAGCATCTGAAGCAAATTTGAGAGTTTTCCTCTCTTAAACATCTTTTTTAAACAATGTTATATAAGCCTCAAAGTTTTTTGGTAATAGACCTGCACCCATAACTTTTACCTGGTCTATTATCTGAATATGTATGTAGAATTCGGCATCCGAAGCAAGTCCATTAGTGTGCATCCTAAGATGTATCATCCATGCAAGTTTGCTCATTATAGCGCTCATAGTTAATTGGAAATGAAACGTACAAAAAACTTTAACCTGTTCACTCAACCAGAAAATGTAGGTCAGATTCAGCATCCAAAGCAAGCCCTATTACATGTCTTAGTTGTATTCACAAGTTTAACAACATAAGCCTTATAGTTACATGGAAATGAAACCTGCACCAAAAACTTTAACCTGTTAACTCAACCGGAAAATTTAAGTCAGATTCAGTCATCTGAAGCAAGCCCTAGTATGCATCTCATAGATGTCTCATCTTTGCAAACAACATAGGACTTATAGTTACTTTGAAATGAAACCTACACAAAAACTACACCAAAAATATTAACCTGGTTCACCTCTTCTGAAAGAACTAGAACTCTAATTTTCTTATTCCCGCCTACATTTTGTACCCATTAAATTCAATTTTAATGGCAATTTGGCCATTAAATCTTTGTTTAATACAAAGAACAGTTCTATGGTAAATGATTAATCCTTTTATTTCCAACGTTAGGCAGTAAATTATTATTAATTAATAAAAAAAGGGGTTAGACGATAATTTCTAGTGAAATCAAACTTTCAAGAAACACGATATTTTGAAATAGTCTTAAATATCATAAAATGTATCTCATATCTTTTCTAATGATTTAAGCAAATAAATAAAATATAATATGAATTAATAAAATACAATTATTTAGTTGTAAATAGCTTTAAAATTGGTGAAAAATCAGCATTTTTGGGGGGTTTTTTTTGTCTATAAACATTTGACCCCCCCCCCTTCCCGTGAAACACAAAAAGCTTTGGCATAAATTTGTTAAATGACCCAAATTACCTGTAAAAAAAAATTTTTGAAATCAATGAAGTAGAATAAAATCTTTTTTTAAAAATATTTTGATCGTTGATCCTATAGTGAAAACACAAGTTTTTCAAAATTATAAAGTTGTTCTCTTTGGTACCCATGAAATAAGTAACGTTTTATGAAAAATCATAAAAATATCTACAAAAATTGCAGTAAAATCATTCAAATGTTAACTTTTGATGAATTGACATTTAACTTTATGTAAAAAAAAATCACATTGTTTATTTCAAATCTGAAACTTTCATCTTAGCACAATGAAACATTCAAATTTTCATTGTTTAATTCAATATAAAAGTCTTAAAAAAAAACTGCTCCAAAAATTACTGTGGGCTCGAAAAGAAATAACGATATTAATAACCCTGCAACTTTGTTTGTGGCCATAAAAAACCTAAAAAATCACCAATAATCTAGAAACAAAGGATCTAAGAGTCTGATGCTTAAGTTACAACATACAAATAACTGTAGTCTCTCAAAAATCTAGTACTTAACACAATAACCCTGTCTCTATTAGGCAAAAGAAAATTGTGGATAACTCTCTCTAAGTGAAATAGAAACCTGATAGACCATATATTTTTTAACAGCTCTGACAGACTGATCTCTGATACAATGTAACACAGTCCTTTCAAATTTTACCAATACTTAATGACTCATGTGACATTAGCATTATCTAAACACAGAAATTTTGTGCCGCCGGGCACATAGTGTTTCACAAACTCATCTTGTTCTATTCAGTTTTTTTGAAATTCTTATGTAAAATTTGAATTCCATTCTGTGGCTCCCACCCTATCTCAGGGGGTCCTTATTTTAACAAACTTGAATCTACACTATGGAGGACGCTTCCATATAGTTAAATATACCACCATGACTTATCATGTTTTTTACTGTTTATGAGAAGATTTTTCCTACTATGTAAAAATTTGATCACTGATTTGGTCCCAATTTGAACAAACCTGAATCTAAAGTACCTGAGGATGCTTCCATATAAATTAATATCAATAATCAACTAACCCTGTGCTGGAGAAGATTATTTATAGCTTTTTCAATACATAAAACTTTCACAAATTAAATTTTCATATCTGTCCATTTGCTTACAAAACTATAATTATGTTTTTGATGTTGTATAAGAAAATATATTGCAAAATTTCTTTTTAATATGCATATTTAATTGTTCATGCATCTAGTTCTTTGAAATCAATAAAAAATTAAGCTATGATTATTAAATTCACTTAAAATGATCTACTACCATCAAAAAAGTATTGTTAAAAGCAATTGCATTCAAGGTGTTTAAATTCCCTTCTAGACCAGGAAGTATAAACACCTGACAGGTGATACAGGTAAATGGGTCACATGATCAGAGTGCATACCAGAGATCAATAGGACAGCCGCCATTACTGAAGTCGGGTTATAAACATAGGAGGAGAAATTGAGGTATTGATTAAATTTAAAAATTGTATTTATAATAAAAATCTTCAAAAATTCATTGTTGTACAATTTAACAATTGATACAAAATTTCTTTCTCAATGATTGAATGCACGAACTTGTTTATCTTTCTGTGTATATCTGTCAATTTAATACTGTGTTTGTTTAATGGCCTCAGATTATTGTAGAAATGAAATACATTGGTGTTTTTTTCTTAAATATTTACTATGTTCAAGACTGAAAAAAAAATTCACAAACTTTAAACCATCGTAATTATAATTTCATTTCTAACCTAGATGAAGTAGAATGAAACTTCATGTCTACCTCAAAACAGGCTTAGCACCTGAATATTTCACATGATTCTCCATGAAATAACATTACATGTAAAACCACCATGAAAGGTAACTTTCTAATAAACCATGAAAATAAAGAAACCTATAGTATACACAGGGTTCCATTTTATGAGTGTCAGATTGTCTTTGTCCAGTTCATTTTGTGATCAGTCATGTCAATCTCTAAACACACTTTACTAATATGACAAGAACTATTTGTATGTGTATTATGGGATATACTGAAATCAAAGTGGAAAAAAACCTACAGAATATATAAAACATAGATTTTTTTAATTACATGTACTTGAAAACATCACATACAAAATGACACAATATAAAGGACTCCATCATGTATCACCAGATATCATTTTCAAGGGAGATGGAGATAATAGGTTATAGACAGTGTTACTGCATTTCAGTTCAAGAATTCTTGATGTCATTGAAATAAATTAAGTTTTTTCTTAAAGTTAGATACTAATTTGTTTACATCTGTAAAGAGTAGGACAAGTAAAAAATAAATTTGGACAAGTATCATTTGTTTGAAGCTTGTATGAGAAACAAATGTGTACTTTTGTAAATGTTGAGCTCAAATGAAATGTAGTTCTCTGAGTCTGCCAAATTTTCTGTTGCCTCAAATCCAGTCAATAAATTCGAATGATTAATCATTAATACATGTGTATTAAACTTTTTTGGTTTCAGTCACAGAATTAAAGCATGGACCCCCGTACCAGTGCCCAGGACGTGATGCGATGTGACCTGTGTGAGACCGCTGTGGTACAGATGCACTGTGATACATGTCTTGTCAACCTGTGTAAGGCCTGTGTGGGAGAACACATCTCAACAATGCAACATGCCATTTTTTCTTTCCTATATGTCTACCATTTTATTCTTTATCTGGTGTATTGTAAGATATGGTACGTCTTCTCCTGTTTGAAAAAAAATAAGTGTAGATCGGACTGTGTGCATTCCTCTGGCCTGTGTTTACATTGAACCATGGTATGAATTAAAAATCTTACGGCTCTGGATGAAGGGGCATACATTTAAAATTTGAAATTATTTTATTAGTACATGTTTAAAATGATCCGATTTTTTAAAGAAAAAATCTTTGAACTGCAGATGATGATGTCTAAAACATTCCTTAACGTGAAAACCATGTGTAGTAAAAATACCGGGAAATCCTTCTCAAATTTATTCGCTTTTTTCTCATTATGACGTTGCATACGATAAAGTCACAGTTACAATCCGTCGAGGCTCATATATAAACATATGAACTTTGACACTAATTTCCTTAGAATAAGTTTAAGGTCATAGGAAATGCCAAGGTCAAAAATGTTGATGTAGTTAAAAATCTCTCTTCACTATGTTTCCGCATATGAATGTATTATAAAAGGTTTCCTTACAACTGACTTAAAACAATTTGATAAAACTGAGGTCAAGGTCAAATGAAAGGTCATGCCCAAAATGTTAATACATTTGAGTTGCTTACATCATATGTATCACCACATAAAGTTTTACACTGGATTTAAGAAGAGTGAGGTCAAGGTTAAAAAAAGGTCAAGGTCAAAAATGTTGATATATAAAAGCCCGTTATGCTAAAGTTATACCATGTTTCCCACTATTGTTGATGTCCCTGGATATAATCAAGTGGGCGAGGACTAGTGAAATTGGCATGGAAGTCCTGAGTGCGATTAAGTTTAAAATAAAATAAAAAAGAAAACACGAAAAACTCCAGTAAAGCTTTAAGCCTTTCATTCTATCTTCAGAAGCTTTACAAAATAAACTACTGTAGTAACATAGTAACGTTACACAATAATTGGCGGAGTATATGACGTCGTTATTATGAAGTCAAATGTACTATGACGTCATAGTTAACAGCTCTTTGCGCACAGGTAAAAGTACGGGAAATTTTCAAGTTCTTAATAAAATGCAGATATACATATGCATATATAATTAAATCTAGTTGATATACATTACATCAGATTGTTAAGCTTTGGTTTTAACGCACAAATAAAATGCTTTTCTTTCTGACGTCTACTTATATCATTTCCTCCTGCTACTTTTATAAAACGGAAATATCGTAAATTTCTTTTGTCCGCACACGTCTAAATGTTCACTTAATGGTATTTGTCTATACTCCGGAGTGTTAATCTGTTG